CGGAGGCGGAGCGGACCCCTCCCGGCAGGCCGAGCCCGCCGCGACCGCGCGGGGGCTCCGGAAGGGCCGCCTCACCTCTCCGCCTCAGCAGCAGCGCTGCCACCGCGCTGTCCACGCCGCCCGACAGGGCGCACACGACGTGCCGCGCCGCCTGCATCCGCGCGCAGTCCCACGGCCACCTAGGGTCAGCACTGCTGGGGAGGCGCTTCCGCCTGGCGACGGAAGTCCCGCCCCCGCCAGCGTCAGAGCGCACTGCCCGGCCGGAAACGAGCTCCGCGCTCCTCGGGTTCCGCCGGGATTTGTGTGTACCCCGGCGGGAGAGGACAGAGTGAGCCTACCTCCCAGCCTGAGGCTTCGCCACCGCCCGCCCGGGCGCTCTCTCCCTCCCAGCATCATTCCCAGGTATAAAGCCGTTAGTGGACTTTGTAGCTACACACCTCTGATCCATCCCTCTTCCAAGGGACCCTTGGAGCACATGGAGCTTTGGAGAGATGTCTAGTATAAGCTTCATCCTGCCTAAACCAAAAGGGCTTTGGTCCTCAGTGCACTACACCCACCCTATAAGTAGCCCACACGTTGCACACGCACATTTTCTGTGACTTGTGGTTAGATGCATGGAATTTTGGCCACCTGGTAGCTCTGAGCGATCCCTGAGTATTAGACACAGTGGGCGGGCTTTGGCAAAGGCAGGGATGACCCAGGCTCCCCCAGCCAACAGCAGTGTAAGATTTCAGAGATGGAAAACAGGGACATTTGCTCCACAGAAATGTGAAATTACAGGAAACTGGACCTCTTAAAAGGGGCAGGGTTGAGCTAGGAATATAGCTTAGTGGCACAAGCGCCTGCCTGGCAAGCCCAAGGTTCTGAGTTCAATCCCCAGCGCGGAAAGGAAAGGAAAGGAAATTCAATCCCCGATTCCACCAAAACAAAACAAACAAACAAACAAACAAACAAAAAAAAAAAACAAAACAGGAAGGAATAGAAAAGAGAAAGAAATGGTGGCACGTGCCTGCAATCCCAGTACTCCGGAGGCTGAGACAGAGGGATCACTGCCAGTTCAGACCAGCCGGGGCTCAAGGCTAATCTGAACTACGTAGCAAGACCCTGTCTCAAGACAAGAGTGGCAGGCTATGCTCTTTTGGCAGCCAGGGCCCCTCCTGCTGTGCTGAGAAGGTAACAGCCTCCGGCCTGCCCTGAGTTCCAGGGTCACCTTGGTTCTGACATTCCAGGACTTCTCTGCACCCTGAGTGGTCAGGCTGGGCGTCAGGTGAGAAAGGCACCTCAGGAAGCCCTCTGACTGCTGAGGGGACAGCAGAGGGAGGCAGATGGGAGGGACTACGCTCCGGGTGCAGGCTGTCCTGCCCAATCCATGTGCTTAGGAGGCCTTCTCCCAGCTGTGCGGAGCCGGAGGCCTGCTGTGCTCCTGTACCTGTACGCTGGGCAGCACCCTTGGGAGAGCCAGGGCCGGGGCTGCAGGTGAGCACTGCAGAGGTGAGGGTTTGGGTGGAGACAGCCAAGACATGGGGCTGCCATAAGTGTGATGTCTCGTTCTGCCACCAAGCCTCAGGCCCCAAGGACATGGGGATGCCACAGCTTTCACCCACTGGATCCCTGAGAAAATACAGCCTGACCCGTGCTCGAAATTCTGTCTGTTGAATGAATTCACTGCTGGGTTTGGTTATATTTCTCATGAAATGAGGGATGAAAGCACAGGCTTGTTGAGTCTCCGTGGTGCTAAAACCCAGGACGCTACAGCTGTGCAGGAGGGCCCACAGCGAGCCCTTTGGGTTCCCTTGCCACGGCTCAGCAGTTCACCCTTTACTTCCCTGCCTTCTGCTCAAAGCCTCTGGCAGCCGGCGTGGCCGTTCCGTGTTGCTACATTAACCACAGAGGTGAGAGGTCCAGCCCAGACGTCTCTTAGAGAACAGGGTCCTGCCAGTCTCCTTTGCCTGCTGTGATGCTGGTGAACAAAGAACAAGGACTCTTCAAACCACACAGACATACGCAACTCAGGGGTCTCCAGGACACTGGACCCACAAAATGCGAGGCTTTGGGCAGGCGCTGCCTTCCGGTGTCCTAGTTCCCATGATTCCACTGGGAGGCCCCTGGTGCCCCTGCTGAGCCCACTGAGCCTGTCCTGGCCAGCAGCGTGGCTCTGCATGGGCCCGGGGCTTCTGGTACGTTTCTCTCCCTCAGCGCCCCAGCTACCGAGAGCAGCCTCCCCATAGTGTGGTCTCAGACACTGTGCTGGAACCAGCCGGGTGCCCCAACAGGGGACATGGGAGCACTGTGGAGGTGGCAGGCAGGTTCCCAGGCCTGGGACAGGGAGGGCACAGCTGCAGTGGGCTGCACTCTGGATTTACACCAATTTTTATTCACTCTAAACTTTCAAAATCTGTTGCGCACGACCTCGCCAGCAAGGAAGACGCAACACACAGCTCTTCCTTCAGCGGCTTATTCAGGCCCCTTACAGCAAGCTTCTTCTTTTCCAATCCCCCAGCCCTTGGCTAATATATACTCCCGAGCCCTATCCCAGTGCGCCACGTGGGGATCGCCCATGGGTCCAGCCTATGCGGAAGCGAATCATGACTGCAGCCCTGGCCGTATAAGGAGTTGGTGCGCACAGAGAGCGCTCACCCACGGGGGTGGAAGGCGGAAACCAGCGCCATCTTGTAGGCGCGGTCCTTCGCAGCTCTCCACAAAAATCACTTATAAAAACACCAAAGACCAGACAACGTAGGTCCTGCAGTGCTCCGGGAGAGGGGAACCGCTGTATGCATCTGAAAGTCAAGATAAGCTTCAAAGGCACATATGTTCTAATATACTTTTATTTTACAACTTAATTTAAATCTAAATTGTTTAACATTACATACAAATTTAACTTTAAAATTAGGTGCTTACTATTTTACATACAGTGACGTGTAATTCTTCATTCAGAGCGGCATCCCAGCCGGAATGGAAGGGGCGGAGCTAAGGAAGCAGACCTGTCCCCAGCCGCCCCTCCAGGTGCAGAACAGGCTCACAGCCTTCTGTAAGAAGCCAGTTTCCTGTACCACATTTCTAAGGATTGAGCACCACTTCAGGACCAACTGTTCCTCTCACAGCAGCGCAGCTCTGGCTTCGGTCAGAACTTGAGGAGCGGAGAGTCCAGGTTTTCTTTGTCAGCCTCGGGGCTCAGCTGGATGAGGGGGGAGCACAGGTCGATGAGCTGCAGAAGAGCAGACAAGGTGAGCACCGCGTCCCACGCTGCCACCACACGCTCCCTGCGCCCAGGATGCCACGGCGACCTGCATGCTGGACCCAGCTGGGGCAACAGCATGGCACCCCAGGCTCGGGGAGGAGTAAAGGAAACTTCGGCTGTCACAGCCAAGATTTGGGGGAGACGTGGACACACGTGGACCTCGGAGCCTCAGACATGTACGCTCTCTCAGGTACAGGCTGTGGGGCTGGTGACACCAGCCCTGCACCCCAAGCTCACTGGGCCCTGCTGACCTTTGGGAAGCTCAGGCCACCAGAGTTCAGTCACACACGGGGAACCAAGCCCTTTGAGGTGCGGAATCACCATGAACCCCCAAGCTGAAGGTGGCACGGAGGGCCTGACCCTCACCTGTCCTGCGGGCTGCGTGGCTTTGGCCTCACCGTGTCTGCTCGTGTCTGGGGTGTTTGCGGTGAGGTCAATCAGGGGTCCACTTGCAGGCCCCGAGAGCGTGTCGGCAGCAGGAGTGCCACCAAGGTCGATGAGTAGGCAGTCCACCGGGGCTCGGCTCTCAACCATGGGAGAGATGGTGAGCTGGTCCAGCCCGATGTCCACCAACAGGGCCTGGGCAGGGATGTGCGGGCGAGGACAGTCTGGCACTGCTGTGTCAGCCACCTTGGGAGATGCAGGGTCTGCTCACGAATCTGCCCCAAGGAAGCCCCCTGCACACCCAGCAGAGCCACAGCCCTACTCTGGTCCTTCCCTCTGACCCCACTGTCTCCTTCACCAAACCCGGAAAGACCTGGGCCACGGGTTGAGTGCTGAGGGGGCTGCACACCCATCCCCCAGAGCAGCTGGGCTCTGTACACCCCCCCAACACAGGCAGGAACCCACCTGCCTCTCCTACCTCAGCGAGCTGGGTATCCTCCTTGTGCTTGGCCTCATGCTGAGCTGGTTCTGTGGCGGGGCCTTCCAAACAACGATCGCTTTTCTCTGGGGAGAAACAAAGGACTTGGGGGACAGAGGGAGGAGGGGAGAAGCTCCTGCCAGGTGAGGAGGCTGCCTGCTGGTGCCTGGGGGCTCTGCCGCTGTCCCTCACTGGCTCAGTACTGTGGAGAGAAGGAAACTCCTGGAAGCATCCTGACAGGGGTGCCCGGGCCTGCTGCAGCTCCTCAGCAGACCTGCGCTCAGGGACACTGTCACCTGGATCTCGGGCTTCCTCTGCCTGGCTAACAGGAGGGCTGGAGGCTCCCCAGGTTGCCTCTGCTGGACTCGGCTCTGTCCGGTCCCCCCACTCATCCCTTCCCTGGCAGTGGTGAACTGCAAGCCCCGGAGCAGGGCCATGGGGCAGAGCTGCGGCCAGAGCAGCTTCTTTGCTCCTGACACGGCCTCAGTCAAGGGAACTCGGGGCAGACTGTGTGCCATGCGAGGCTCCGCTCACAAATATCTCCTGCGCCCCTGCCACGCGCCAGGGGCTGGTAAGCCGCAGGCAGAGGCTGCTGGGCAGTCTGACAGGACGCAGGCCAGCTGTGTGCCCAGAAGAGCCTGACGACCCACAGGCGACAGCCACCCCCTTCTGGTGGAGCACAGTGGTTGTGCGCTCAGGCTCGGGCCAGGGCAGCACAGGGCTGTGCACACAGGCAGGGGCGCAGCATGCGGGCCTGCCAGCGACGGGCTGGCGTGAATAGCACAGTGAGAACAAGGCTGGGCGCAGGGCAGGTGGGGACCCGAGGGCCCCGTGAGCAGGCAGGCAGGGAAGGGCCTGCAGGAGGCGCTGAGCTCGGCCCGCCACCTCCCAGGCCCTGCTCCTGCCCCTGTCAGTAAGAGCCTGGCAGGAGCAGGGAGCGCCCGCCCTGTCCTAAGTGTAGGGGTGGGGTGCTGTGTCCTGGGGGACCATCCTGCACCTTCTGCTCTTACCCCACTGCTGATCTTCTCCGGGGCTCGGAAGACAGCCGCCGTGTAGGGACACACAGCGGGGATGCCAAGGCCCTGGGCATGGTTCTGGGGGTCACTAGAGAGAGGCGCCAGCTAGCAGGTGTGGGCAGTGCCGACATCCGTCTTGCACTTAGGGGAGTCCTCATGCTGTCAGAGGGGCTTTGTGAAGATGGCCCCGAAGAACGTCTCACAGGAGTGCTTTGAGCCACGACCCTGGAGAGATGGGGTCAGGGTGAGCCGAAGAGGCCTTAGCAAAGGACTGAATGACCCTCAGCCGGCACAGTGGGGGTGTGGCCAGTGAGGCCTGGGCCAGCCTGCCCACAAGAGGAGGGGTCTGGGGAGGCGGGACAGGGCACGCTGGCCTGGGGTGACCAAGACAGGAGCAGCCAGTGCAGCACTTCAGGGAGATTCAGGAGAGCACAGGGCATCCTGGGACGGGGTTGTGGGAATGTCCCGGGAAGTGCTGCGCTGATGAGCCAGCCGGTCTCCTGTGCGCCCCTGTGCCCGGCGCTAGGGTCTCCGAGCCACGGGGTGCGGTGCAGGTCCCTGGGCACTTGGCTGTCCCCACCCCCCGCCTCCAAATCCCACGGCTGTGCTGTATTCTGTTGCTCCTGAGTCCACTGGTGATAAATTTGGGGCTTGAGGCCCGTCCCTGAATTCTTACGTGACCCCTAACTGGCAAGGTGGCGGTGTCGGGGCTGGAGAGGCGATGTGGTGGAGGTGCAGGGCCCTCGGGAAGGGGCCAGGCTCTCACATGGAGGACCCCAGAGCCAGCTTGCTGCTGAGGATGTGGCCGGAAGGCCACCTGGGAAGCGAGCCCAATGGCCTCTTCCTGAGACGTGTGGCCTCCAGAGTGCCCAGCTCCACAGCTCAACCCCAGGCTATGAGTTTTGTAGCCCGAAAGTGTGGAAACAAACTTCGCGTAGTGCTCTCAGAGGACTGCCCAAGAGCCTGCCATGAGTGCCCACAGGGCACACTCTGCCCTCCTACTACCCCTGCCAAATCCACTGCAATCATAAAGAAAAACTCTGCCCAGCGCATCCTCCACAAAACCTGGGGCAGGAGTCACTCCTATGTTCTCCAGTGGGGAGGCCGAGGGCCAGCGGTGGGGGAGCGTCGTGGCTGCCCAGCGCCAGGTGCTGCTATGCCCTCGGGGTGGGAGACAGTGCCTCAGCGCAGCTCCTGCTGCGGGACATCTGGCCTAACCGAGGGGTGCAGAGCCTCGAGCTTACATAACAGGAAACCAAAGCCTGGGGTGCTGGGATGCACGGGCTTCAGAGCCTCTCGCTGGCCAAGGAGGGCCAGGAGCACCGTCTCGGGGTTCTAGCCTCGCACTCCTTCTGCCAGGCCTAACCCACCCACCCCTCAGAGGCCAGAATGGAGGAGACCCAGGCTGGCCACACTCCGGCGCCAGCTTCCCTGCCCTGCAGGTGCAAACACAGGGACTAAGTCCTTCCAATTCCCCATCCCGGACACACAAGGAGGCGAGAGCCTCCTCTTCTGCATCAGAGCATGTGGTGTGCTAGCATCCGGCCTCCATGGCTGACAGCAAAGGCAGCAGCAGAAGGGACGCCGAGGACCCCACTGCAGGCACAAGAGGCTCAGCGGTGGAAAGGACGCAGCCCGCTATGACTCACCTGCCAGCAGATGCCCACGACTGCAGCCTCTGTGCCCGTAAGAACCTTGGTGTCGTGCCAACAGGGGACCCACCTGGAATGAGAAAAGTGTGCAGTCAGACGCAGGTCAGAAGAGTCCCACTGGGAATCTGCAGACTGGGACCCAAGCGACAGTGGCACAGCACACTGGAGAGCCTACAGGCAGGGTTGTGTGCGGGCAGCAGCAGCTGCCACCTCAGAGGCTGCAAGCGCAGATCAGAGCCGCGGCAGGCCAGGGGATGAGAGCAGCAGGCCAAACCCGGGACTGATGGCTGCGTGGTGAGCAGGGACGACCGCTGGCCAGCTCGGGGCGACACAGGAGCACACCCTGGGGAGTGACCAAGCCCCTGCTCTGCTGCAGCCTGTCACCTCCACTTGCCACATCACTGAGCTCAGCAGCCCAAGGTAGCGCCCAGCAGGCCTCGGGGCCTCCGCACACAGCCCAGGTTACTCCTACTGCCCAGAGCCTCAAGCAGATGGAGGTCCCCAGCTCTCAGGGTCAGAGTGAGGCCTCCACTCCTCCCGGAGCACCTGCACCCCTGCCATAAGGATTTCTGCCGGCTACCCCATGGTCACCATGCGGGCACACGGTGAGCTACCGCGAGCCCCGCCTTCGCCTTCAGCTCTCTGATTCTTCTCCTGTCCGCCAGCCAGGTGAGGCTGCCAGTCTGGGTTCAAGTCTTCTTCGTGACTGGACATCGTAGCAGTGTAGCAGTGATGGTTCTTGCGGCCTTCGCCGAGAAGCATGGTAATGTGGCTGAGTCCCGACCAATGGGACATGAATGGAAGGGGCAGGTGTTCCCCAGTGAGTACTGCGCCTGGAGGAAGGCGTACGGCCTGGAGCTGGCACACCCACACTGCACCATGTGGCAGGGAAGCTGGTCATCGGTCAACAGACAGGGCCTGCGTCCCTGAGCCTGAGGAGCGGCTTCCCAGCTCCGCGAGGCCTACCTGCACTGTGACACGGGAGGACCGTAAGCATCGATCGTGAGCGAGCCTGGGGCTGTCTGGGCTCGTAGAAGCAGCTACTCCCTGCTGCGGGACCTGCATCTCTGCCCCTCCAGCCCTCCTCCATCTCAGAGCCTGCTCCGCACTCTCCTGCCTCAGGACCCTTCCGAGAGTCACTTCCTCTACCTGGAAGTCTCCCTCTGGGCGGTATAGGGGCTGCCCACCTCACAGATGCGTGTACATGCCTGTGCCTCACCAGGGGCATCACGCACGTGGCTCTTGCTGCTGTGTCCTGCCCCACCTGTGAGTGGAAGGGCCACGGCCTAAATCCCCCTGCAGTGCGCAGCAGGGTGGTGCATCTCCTCACTCATTTTACGGCCACTCTTAGGACCAAAACCGAATCTGCTGGATGTTCTTTGTGTCAAAAGATATTCTTTTGTGTTAAATGTAAATTCCATTTAAAAAAAGCTATAAATAATATTTTAAAAAGGGTTTGTAAAAATGTTTTCACCCACAATGATTAATCAGGCAAAGCAAACTGGCAAACAGTAACTGTGTTATAAAATTTAAGGTCACCTAGAGGTTTGTTATTTCAGTTCAAGCTAGATAAAATATAAACAACCAAGCCTTACTTCTAAACTAATTTAAGACTAAAGACAGGAAAAGGGAAGCCAGGTGTGGTGGTGCACCCCTGCCTCGGATCCCAGCCCTGGGGGCTGAGCAGGAGGGTGCCAAGTGTGAAGCCAGCTTCACGCCTAGGATGAGTTCAAGGCCAGCCTGGAGTACACAGTGAGACCTCGTCTTTAAAAAAAAGACTCACAGGAGGAATGCAAAGAGCTTGTCTAAATCTAGCTGCTGGGGCCAGGGAGACAGCTAAGGTGTTAAACATTCTTATTACACTGCAGCTAAAAAATTAATCAAACATTTGCCAAACATTATCCCTGCCCCACCGTAAAATTCACGCAGGAAGTCAGGATTGTGTCAGCTACGCGCGTGGCCCACCAGGCACGTCGTGCAGATCGCCACTGCTGCTACGTGCTGTGGGTCCTGCCTCAGTAAAGCAGTCAAAGCACATAAATTCAGCCGGAGAGCGAGGCAGTGTACGCGCCTGCCTGGCAGACGCGGGACCCAGGTTCGGTCCGCAGTACCACACGCCCTGTCAGCTGAGAGCCCCAGGCAGAGCGGTGCACGCCTGTAACCCCAGCGCTGGAAGGCTGAGACTGGAGGGTCACTACGAGTCCCAACTGTGTAGTGAGACCCTGTACCAAATAAATACATTTTTAAAAATACATAAATGCTATACTTCATCACAAAAGTAACTTTCCATTTTCTCATGGCCTTCCACTCTTCAGCTGATGGACAGCCCAGGATGCAAGCAACTCTGTGCTCTGCACATTGAAAACTACGTTTAGGCAAAAATATGAAGCAAATAGAAATACAAGGACTTAAAAAGTTCCATTTGCGTTTATCATGAGCCACTTGAATTGGGAGGAATTTGGAGATATTTTAATTATGAAAGTACCATATTTGGGTTCACTGCAGAGCTGGCTCTTAAAAGTATAAACATCAACTAAACATTCTCTCTGCATTAGGAAAGTTTCTCTTGAGTGAAACTACACTGGAAGCTGGCACGGTGGCACATGCCTCTAATTCCAGCACGTGGGAGGCTGAGACAAGAGGGTCACAAGTTTGAGGCCAGCCTAAACTACAAAGCAAGACCCTGCCTTAAAAAAGAAAGGTAGGGGTAGAGGAGAGGGAAGGGGAGGGGGCTGTAGCCCGGGTGTGACTGAGACCACAGCAACACAGTGCCCTCCCGTCAGCTGACAGATCGAACTCCTGGGGGGCTCCGGCAAAGAAATAAAACAACAATGTGTGTCTAACATCCTAGTTTCTAGGTAGTCAAGGTTTAACTATTAACAATGAGTTCAACGGATATAAGTAGGATAAAAGTCATAAGAGAAATTTGAATGTATTTTAAAGTCTTGAAAATGAGCCAGACATGGTGGCACATGCCTGTAATCTCAGCACTCGGGAGGCTGAGGCAGGAGGATTTGCCGTGAGTTCCAGGCCAACCCAGGCTACAATGTGAGCTCAAGGACAGCCTGGACTGCACAGCAAGACCCTGTCTCAAAAAGACCAAAACAAACAAACACACACACACAGGCCTTAAAGCGGTGAAGTCACAGCTATTCCATTCCTGAGTCTTTTCCGGTCAGCTAACACTGCGCTGCGCATGAATTCAGGCTGTGCTGGGTCGTGGCGATGGCGCAGGCTCCTCCAGCTACGTTCGTGGGCACACGCTGCTGGCGTGAGTGTCAGGCTGTAGGGTGGCCCTGTGGCGCTGGGCTCACCCCTGTCCTCCTAATGCTGTGGGCCACGAAAGCCACTGAGCTTCCTCCTCGACTGCTGGGCTCCATGAAACCCTGTCTCTTGTCCTTCATAGTTTGATTCTCCTCAAAACTGTTCACTGTCAGAATCCTGGAAACAGCTGCTGGTGACCCTGAGCCAGTGTGGCACAGCAGGGGAGCCCCGAGCTCTGTGCGGAGACCTTGGGCACGCTGCTGGACAGGCCACCAGGGCAGGGACCACGGAACACAACTGAGAAACGGGTAACATCCACAGGAAGCTTCTGGAGCTCTTCACAAGTTACACTAATCTGTTCTCTGTTTTTCTTTTTGGTACTCAACTCAAACTCAGGGCCTCGCACAGGTACTGCACCTGCTGAGCTAGATCCCCACCCAGTTTACAGTAATTTGATAAAATACTCTTTTGTAAATGATAGGTTTTGGCCCTAATATGAATTGCCAAAATCATAGTGGTGGCCAAATAGCTCAGCGGAGTAAAGTGCCTGCTTATGCAGACACAGGGGCTGGGTTCCATACCCGGCAGGCAGTGCCAGCCCCGCCCCAGGGCAAGCTGAGATGGCGGCTGAGACTGGGTGTGGTGCACACACCTATAATCCCAGCTCTTTGGGAGGCTGAACACAGGAGAATCACTACATAGTGAGATCCTGTAGACCCTTACTAAATTACCAAAAAAGAAAAAAAATTATTATGGTAGTCATCTAATATGGCTGGTACCCTTAAAATAAAAGCCCATCCTCCCCAAGACCACCCCCGTTCTCCACCTCCGCCCAGGGTACAATTTCCTTTCACCCTTCCCGCTGCCTCAGGGAAGACTCCCAGTCAGCTTTCCCAGGTATATCTAAACATCCCCTTCTAGGGCCGGCCAAATAGCTCAGTGGATTAAAGCACCTGCAAGCAGGTGCCAGGTCGGGACTGACCCCCGGGCCAGTGCTGGCAGTGCCGGCCCCGCCCCCAGGGTGTGCTGAGACAGCAACTGAGCCTGGGGTGGTGGTGCGCCTATAATCCCAGCTCTTGGGAGGCTGTAAACAGGCAGATCACTACGAGTCTGATCTAGTAGTGAGACCCTGAACACCCTGTAGCCCCTTCCCTAAAATAGAAATAAATAAATAAATCTCCCTTCAGACTCCACCCTGGCAAAAGGCCATGAAAGTCTTAGTCTCCCTTTGTTCCAATAGAGAAAATTCCTTATTTTCCCCATTCTCTCTGCGTCCTCCAAGATACTAAAGCCCCTTTCCCTTCTTCCTTCTGCCTGTCTCTGCTGCGCTGGGCACCTGAAAAAACCTATCAGCAAACATGTTGGAATAACTTACTTTTCTTTGCTAATTCCTTACCACCCCCAGATAAATTATCCCCATTTCTCATCGCAGCAGCGTGGGTCCTTGCATAAGTTTGATAAGACTCCATTCTCTTCATTTCAGGCTGCGAGGGGAAACCTGGCCCACTGAGGCCTCGCTGCGATGGGCAGCCCCGCCGCGGCCGCAGCCCCGGGCCGGCTGGGAGCTGTGCCCTGCGGCACCCGGCGGTCGCTATGGCTGCGCCTTTGTTTTTGCTGTAAGTCGTCCAGCCAAAGATGGCCTCGGGTTGCAAACACCTTGGTTCTTCTCGTGTTACCTCTGGTAAAAGTTGGTACTACTGTAGAGTGGAAATTACTTTTTAATGAGAAACTATAAGCTGGGTGTGGTGGCGCATGCCTGTAATCCCAACACCAGAGGCTGAGGCAGGAGGACTGCCATGAGTTCAAGGCCAGCCTATGCTGCACAATAAGACCCTGTCCAAAAAGACCTGAAAACAGAAAACCCCGTAACTTGCCTGTCACAGACTGCAGCTCTACTCATCGGAGGGTTTTATCTCCCATCATTAGAGAGGCAGATCCTAAATTCTCAAAATAAGCCTCCTCCAACTCGGCTCTGTGCAGATCACTGAGATCACATCGCACCTAAAGCCCGCAAGCTACTGAATTCTAAGGGACAACAAGCCCGTCCGTGCCTGGTGCCCACGGGGTTACTCAGCAGGCCACGGTGGCATTAGCGCCAGGTTCAAACCACGGAACAGGGCAGGAAACTGACATCACAGAAGATCCCAGGTCACCGTGCAGCTCCTGGCCCTGCCATTTTCTTAATCTTCTCCCCAGCAGGACAACGCAGCAGTTAAGTCTTTTCTTCTATAGCTACTGGGAGTACCTGGACAGGCCCAGACCTAAGCCAGCGACATGGCAACATCCCCAACTCAGTCACACTCACGGGGCTCTTGGGTGGCAACCTTCTCCTACCCCACCCCAGGGACATCACAGGATAACCCCCCCTGCCCCTCCCCCGTGCCCCACCCCAGGCCCCTGACCCCCACCCCTGGTAAGGCTGCACGCTGCTCTGCAAAGAGAGCCAGCTGCGCAGGAAGGGGGACGGCAGGTCTGGCCCCGCTCGCATGGGCTCCAGCATAGCAGACCACGCTTGTTATGCTCTTTCCGATCTGTTCTGCTTTGGGTCTTCCTTTTTGAACTTTGTAGCTGTTATCTATTAACTTTTGGCAGAACAGATCCTAATGTGACAGTGTTGGGCCAGGGCTCCGAGAGGACGGCCACTGCGTGCAGAACACAACGGGAACTTTTTGCAGCACACAGCAGTGTCCAAGGACTTCATGGACCATCTCCGAGCACCACCCACACCCTGCCAGGTACACCATGTGCTGGAGGCGGGCAGGCCCCAGAGGAGGGCAGGCGCCGTGACCACAGGAGAGTGCTGGGCCCAGGGGACCCAGGTGTGGGAGGAAGAGGGCTGGGGTGGGAGAGGAAGGCGCTAGAGAGGAGGGCTCTTCGCTGGCTGCACTCACGCAGGACCAGACCCCAGAGGGGCAGGACATGAGCAAGGGGAGCCAGTGACCGAGTGCCTGGGGCTGGAACAGTCACATGCCAGCAGCGAGCCAATGGCCAGCTGCAGTGGGCAGTGCCAGGCCTCAGCACTCGCTGACAGTCCCAGCAATGGGAAACCAGCCCCCCAAGACAGCTCCAGGGTGGGTAAGAGACCAAGAGGACGCTCTGAATGGGTTCAACACAAGCACCCTGAGGACAGGGACAGGGACAGAGGCTGGAAGTGAAACTCAGTCCCACAGCTTTGCCACAGGTCCCACTCAGTGGCAGCAGCACAGACAGAGAACCTGAAGATGTGACTGTTCCCCTGAGGACAAGGCGAGTGGGAGGCGGGGCGCAGGCATTGCAAAATTCATCAGGTACTCACCGACTGAAAAATTGGGGATTTTAAGCGGATTTGCAGGCATGGGCAGCACTTTCGTCCTGGAACTCAGACAGGAGTCTCGCCGGCCTATGCTCTGAGTTTTATTCAATTCAGAAGTCGCTGACAAAGCAGAGCTGGCGCTTGGCTTCTGGCCTCCACTTTCTGGGGTCCGGGGCTGGCTTGGAGGACCCATGGTGGGTGCTGTGGACGCGGCGGCAGCATCGCTCCTTCCGGCCTGCCCACAGGACGCCCCTGCAGGGGCTGCAGACAGAGCCTGGCACACAGTGGTGGCCCTCGGCCTACCCGACTTGCCCGTGCCAGGCAGAGGCAGGGCACTGCTGGTGTGAGCACTCGCCAGCACCCCTGGCTTCCCTGCAAGAGGACACACGCGACGGCTGGGTGTCATCGAGTGCGCACCCCCAACTGGCTCAGCTAGGGGTGCTGGTGCACACCTGTAATCCCAGCACCCTGAGGCCGAGGCAGGAGGATCTAGTTCAAGCCCAACCTGAGCAGCTTCATGGCTTAGCAAGAACAGTCTCTCTCAAAATTAAAAAAATACCGGGCTGAGGACGGAGCTCGGTGCAGAGGCCCTGGGTTCAGCCCCAGTACTCGGGTGGGGGCCCGGCCTTCGCCATGTTGGCAGCAGAACTCTGCCCTTGCCAAGCAGCAGTGCAATCCGGGGACCCCAACCCCAGTAGGGGAAGGGCTATGAGGAAGCAGCAGTTGCTACTAGTTGAGTGCTTTAAAATACAAGGAGAGGGCTGGGGAGATGGCTCAGTAGAATAAGCACTTGCCTGGCAAGCGCAGGGTCCTGAGTTCAATCCTCGGTACCGCAAGTAAATAAATAAATAAATAAAATACAAGGAGGAGACGGAGTCATACTAATCACAGATAGTTTAAAACAATAAAAATCAGGCACAGTAGTCCATGCCTATAATCTCAGTACTTGGGAGGCTGAGCCAGGTGGACTACTGAGTTCAAGGCCAGCCTGAACTGCGTGGCAAGACTCTGTCCAGAAAGACAAAAAAAAAAAAAAAAAAAAATTCCTTGACCAGATTGATTAATGCACTGAGTGTACTGCTAGCTGTGTGGTTTTCACCCTTCTTTGCTAGTCCCTTTCTTCCCAATCCTCCTGCTTCAGCCTCCCAAGGACTGGAATCACAGGCCTGTGCGCACAACCACCATACCCAAGCTGGCCAAGGACTCTGAAGGACAGCCCTGAGTAATGCTGTAGCTTCCAATAGTGCCTAACAGCACCCACAGCCCTGTCTACCCTCGTGGTTCTGCTGTGTGTGGCACTGAGATCAACACACACCAGAGCCCACGCCACAGCGAGAGGCACCAAGTGGCTCAGGGCCTGACCGGTGGGCAAAAGACGCCCCAGAGCGCCTTCCTTTCCTGGACGTGCCATGTGGTGCCACAGGAGGGCAGGGGGTTGCCATGACCCACAGGAACCCTACAGGTAGACACTGTCATCTCGAGTGTGAGGGTGAGGACACAGGCCTCCAGCCACGGAGTGGCAGAGTCGGGACTCCAAACCAGAGCAGTCTTTTCCATCAGTCTATACGCTGTGCATCTAGTGAGCAGAACCTCACTGCACCGCCCTGGAGCGGCCAGTCTGTGCGGCAGACGGAAGCAGAAGATGACCCACTCCTCCCGTGTCTCTGTGGCACTGAGCCCTGTGCTTTGCGTGCCAGGCAAGAGCTCCGCTGGGGCTGCATGCCCTGCCCGGGCTTTGGCTCTTTATTTAACTGTCTTTCTTTTGGGCAGTCCTGGGGTTGACCACTGTGCTTAGCCTCTTTTACTTTGAGACAGGGTCTTGCTAGCTTTCCCACGCAGGACTCAGACTTGCAATCCTCCTGCCTCAGGCTCCCCCAGTGCTGAAGAGGAGCCACGCTGCCACCTCAGGCTTGGACTTAGTTCTTAAGAGCAACGCACCCTTTCTGGCCACCCAGAAGCTCCCCCTCACCACTAGATGGCAGCCTTGGCTCGGCAAGATGAGCAGCGTGCTCACGGGAACAGGTGCACCTGGAGGCACAGGGCTGCGTGCTCCAGGGGTGTGGACTGCCACACGGCCAACTGTGTCTGAGGTGCAGACATTAGGCTGGCGCGAGCCTCCTCTGCGCCTCGGCACTGGGCACACAGCCGTGCTCCACAACTGCACGTGCCTCTAACTGAAGCTGCCCATCTTGCTGGTGGGAGCAGCAGAGGGAGGCATGGGGACAGTGTCAGCCGTGTCCAGAGCAGCCCACGGCCCACAGCACGCCCTCCCAAACAGTCTCGCTGGGCGCATGTGGCTTGGACGCCACTGCTCACCTTTGTCTGCCACTGGGGACGGGCACTCATTGGCCGCCGCGCTCCAGGTGGACCCCGAGGATGAGGAGGGCTTCCTGGGAACAGGGCCAGCACATCTGGGGGGCTTCATCTGGCTCTTCTTCAGCCCCACCTGAGACAGGGGTCACAAATGAGAATTGGCAGGGACATCACTCTCCAGCCATACTTACTTCTGCAGAACTAGGGTCTCAAAAAAATTCCTTAATACAATGCTTATCATCTGGACTTCAAAGGTCAGTAGGCGGTAATGAAGCGGGGGTCCCTGGGGGTCTGCCCAGGTCAGAGCCCGACCCTCAGCCCCTACACCCAACAGCACCATCTGCACGCATATTCCCTCCCACTACTTTAGGTAGGCTCTAGATGACCAACGATCCCTAAGAAGTGCAGGTGCTCTGTAAACACTTATTCTCCACTGTTCCTAGTATAGTAGTAAGAAAAGGTCTGTAGGCCTGGGATGTAGCTCAGCAGCACTGCACCTGGTCTGGCAAG